CGCCGCTCCCCGGGGGCCTCCAGGCCCCCTCTTGTCCCCTCTCCCAGACTCCTCAGCCCCCTGCCCAGGGCGGATGGGACATGAGGCCCTGGGTGCTGGCAGTGCCAGGGCTGTCACCTCAGCCTCTTGGCCCAGGGGGCTCATGGGGACTCCTGGTCCCCTGCCTCGGCTCCTGACCCCCATGTGCTGATGGAGATCCCCTGTCACTCAATGCCCCTATCCCCTGGTCCCCTTATGCCCCAGGTGCTGACAGGACCCCTCCCGCAGGTGCTGGTGGAGATCCCCATCCCCTGTCCCCTCGGTACCTGTGGGCACCCCGTTCCCCTGTCCTCCTCATCCCCGGGGCACTGACAGGGACCCCCATGCCCTGTCCTTATCGGCACCCTGATGCTGATAGGGACTCCTCTTGTCCCCCCAGGTGCCATACGTACCGTCGAGTGCCCAGCAGGTTGCGAACGTGATGGCGCTGCTCAAGGGGCGCTCAGGGAAGATGGTGGACCTGGGCTCGGGCGACGGCAGGCTCGTAAGTGAGGATGCCGAGCGCGTGGGGACACCGGGGATCCTTGCACAAACGCTGCTGTGCCCTGTAGCAGCAGAGCTGGGTGCAACAGAGCTGCACCCACCAAGGAGGCACCGGCCTCTGCTCTATCAGGAGCAATCCTGCTCCTCCCCAGCCTCGTAGTTGGGCAAACCACTCTCCGCGCTGAGCCTGGTGGCCAGCTACGCTGGCCTGAGCTCGCTGGCCGCTGTGTCCTCGCCTGCCAGTCCGCCACGCTGCCGTGGGACGGGCAGCGCAGTCACTGCGCGTGAGGGAGCACGCGGCAGCTGGCCAGCAGCCCCGGCATCCCCAAGTGAACAAGAAAGCTCATTCTAGCTGCAACTCTCTTCCTCTAGGTAATAGAGGCCTATAAGCAAGGCCTGAGACCGGCTGTGGGCTATGAGCTCAACCCTTGGCTGCTGCGCCTCTCCAAATACCGGGCCTGGAAGGCTGGCTATGACGGGAAGGTTTCCTTCCTGAAGCAAGACCTGTGGAAGGTAACAGGCTGCCGGGCTGAAGGCAGGACTCAGCTCAGCTCTGTGATCCGTCCCAGCGCGCTGAGCGCACGCGCTGCTGCTTTACCTAGGGCAGCACCAGGAGCTTGGGCTGCAGCTCCAAACAGGATTAGCCGAAGGCTGCTGGCTCCTCTTCTGCTCCTGGCAGAGGCACACGGCAGCCTCCAGGCTCCGCTGCAAGAGCAGCAGAAAGGGAAAAGTCACACAGGGCGTCCTCAGATGGCCACATAGGGCTGTGGTTTGTGCAGGTAGCTCACACATTCCTCTCTCTCAGAGCAGCAAGGGGCAGCTTTGAAGAGTCTTAGTTGTCTTATGTCTAAATGTCTTAATTATTGACTCCTGCTGCTGACGGTCACTGAACTGCCACAGATAGGCTGTTAAAAAACTAATTTCTTCAGATCAGATTAATGGAGTTGATGAAGTGCTGCCAGGAAAAGCGTTTCTAGGATCTTGAGACAAAGTTGAATGCAAGTTTTTTGAATGACATACTCCTTTTGTGTCTACTACCCGAGTGTACCAGCACAGACGCCCTTCTCGGGTGTCCTTTAGATCTTTGATTCCTTTGAGGTTTCAAACATCACCTGCAGATTGTCTGAGCAGTCAAATAGGATGCTCAAGGGACTCTGAGTCCCTTGGACTAGCCCCTGGACTAGCCCAGCCCACACTCTGTCTGTTGCTCCTTTCATTCCCCTTTCTTCTCTTTTAAGGTGAATCTTTCTGATTGCTACAATGTCACCATGTTCCTGGCTCCCAGCGTGGTAAGTAGGTCTCTGTGGGGCCTGCTATGAGATGCTTACAGTGAGAACGCTACTGTCTTGTTCTGAACAAACATCTTTCTTTCTTAGAAAAGACAGTATATTTTAAGAGAGTTTGCGTGTGTTCCATATAAGTCCAAAAATAAAGAAACCAGAGGTAAAGAAGAACACAGAATTACACACATTGGAACAAAAAGCCAAACTGGGATGTGTTTTTAAAAACGCAGTTTGTTCTCACTGAGGGTAATGGACATAATGCTGTTCCAGGATCCCCCTTCACACATCTTCCTGAGGGATCCTTGTGGGAGCACTGTGCCCACGTCCCCTGCGGTGCTCGTTATCTGGCACTCTCATTGATCACTGTGAGGGCCTGTTACAGCCAGGATTACAAAATCACTCTTGGTGCCACAAAATGCAAGCAAAGCAAAGGACTAAGTTTTCTCTAGTGCTGAGAACTAGCACTATGCACATGGACTTCACTTCAGTGGCTCAGCATCACTTGAATTTGTTCCAAGTTTCGACTACATGTAGGGCTAGAACCAGCCATGCATATTGGAACAAGTTTTAGTGAACGCTGTCTGCTTGGGACCCACTAACTATGCTGGGATGGGGCTACAAAGGCTGTTTCATATCCCCTGCTGGCCCTACGTTGCCGTTCAGAGAGAGCCCATCTCTGAATGAACTACAAGCACTGTTTCAGGCTGACCCCATCACCAAAATCATTTTCCTGTATCAAATTAATCCCCAGTAGTGGCTAAACGGCCTAAGACAGAGCATGTGGTGCAGTGCTGTGCAGTCACTAGAACTATGTGATTATTTTCTAAGACCTTCTGGCTCTGGCTGTCTCTCTGTCTCCCCAGAAATCTCCCCTGGCTGCCAAGCTCCTTGCAGAACTCCCGGATGAGGCCCGAGTGGTGGCTGGACGTTTCCCCTTCCCATCCTGGACCGCAAGCAGCACCGTTGGCCAGGGGCTGGAGCAAGCCTGGGCCTACGACATGAAGGAGGTGCGGGAGGCAGCACAGAGCGGCGCACAGGGAAGCCCGGTCTAACAGGCAGCTCCTCCAGAGCGTGGATTTTAAGGGTCACCAGCTAAGAAGGGGTAGAGATCAGCGTCACCATTCCAACCTCTCCTAACCAGTCTCAGCTCAGTGGTCCAGGATAGCAGTGAATGGTGGGGGTGCAGAGCGATGTTTTGTCAGACTCTCGTGGAGACTCACAGGATCACAGCCCCTCCTTGTTTTCCAAAGTCTGGACAGTTTAGGAAAACGAAGGAGGGAATCAAATCTAGAAATCCTGGAGTAACCACAGGCTTTAAGGGCTAAATCTTCAGTGCCTCTCTCTGTATGTGTGTTAGTTTATTTGTGGTAAGCTTTACACAATAAATATTTGGACAGTTCTTTCTTTGAGATATTTGCTCTGCTTTTGAGTTGCAAGGTGCTTCCAGAGCCAGTGTGCCCCCTGCTTCCAAAGACCTTTGGAAGAGGACTCAGTATGGCATGTGTCCAGCTCTCCACCAAACACAGAGAAATAATGTTTTCCCACCACAAAATAGCAACTGATCCCCTTGGTCTAACCTCTTAGAGCCAAAGCATAGCCTGAACCATCCCTGGCCTCATCCCTCACAAGCTCAGAAGGAGCAGAAGCAGAGTTAGCTCTTGAACTCAAGAGTACTTTGCTCTGGGTCTGACCTGGTAGAGATGTTGTCACACCATCCTAGCGGAAGGCAAGAGTGGGGACCTGTCACTGCAGTCACACAGTAAAAAGCTGCCTGGGAAACTGACCTCATGTCCCCGGTTGTGATGTGCTCAGGGAACACCAGAACCATTCCTACAGCTAAGGGGTCAGAGCACAGACGAGACACACTTGTCTTATCCTATTTTAGTACTGTTAATTTGAGCCGAGAACACCCACGTGGTTCCCTTCTCTGTGTTCCAGCCCTTAGTCAGGGGATGAATACTTGCCTCAGCCAGTCCACAGACAGAAAGCTTTAAAATCTGCTTTTTCTTCTGATTCTGATGTTTCTTGGAGGCAGGGGGAAGAGCTATAGTTCCTGGCTGATGGTCCTTTGGGATCTCTGTTGTAAGTGAGCGTCAGCAGCGTCAGCATTGAGCGCACGTGGTGCCTCGTTACCAACGACTTTTCTCAGCCGAAGGATCTCCTGCTTGTACCTGCAACAGGGAAGCAGCAACATGATTCCCTGTGTCATTGTGACCCTACTCACTCACAGATGCAATCAACTGAAACACAGGGACTGTCAGTTAACGCACACCAGACAACACACAGGCACTGAGCCACATGGAGGTCTGAGTCCCGACAGATACAAAACCCCCGCTAATGTTCACGCAGTGCCCAGCAGAAAAGGAAACACACCAAAAAACTTTGGGACAAGCTGGATTTCTCCCTGGTTTTCCTAGGGAGAGGTGTTTAGAAACTCTGCCAGGCAACAGCATCAGTAATGTGCCCAGGACTCTGGACCAAACGTACAGCTGCCGTGACTACTGAGTCATGCCAGGCAGTGCGCTGAACCCCTGCTTTGACAGGCTGGCTCCGATGCCACTCACCCTTTCTGGCCCTTGCAGCTGATCCCCTCTGTGGGCAGGATACGTGAGCAAGAGAGGACCTTAAATCAGGGTCTGCTAGAAGGCTTGGGATTTTAGGCAACCTCTCCCTCTCCTCAGCTTCCTTCAAAGGATGGGCTAACGGCAAAGGAGACGTGTCCCTTGGCAGGCCAGGTGACGCCCCCTCTGTCACGCGGAAGGATGGATGGCACCAGCTGCCCGCACAGCTGGATGCACTATGGGACACTAGTTGTGCTGGGCAGCGCTGTGGGAAGGCAGCAGCAGCGTCAGGTGCTGGCACAGCAGTGGGCACGGTGGTGTCTCTGGCAATTAGCCCTGGAGATAAACTTGGAGCACAAAGCTGGGAATCTATGAATGGGGATCCTTCTGTCTCACCTTGCAAGATGCTTATCGATGTATTCCTGCAGCTCCGACACCTGCTGCTCTGCCACAATTGCCCGAGTCAGCAGCTGGCTTCTCTCTCTCTCCAAATCCTCCTGGAGGTGTGAGAAAAACGTGAGGAAAACAGGAGCTCTGTGAGATGGGAATGGGGTGGCTCCTCCTCTGTCAGGCGACACTCAAAAGGAGGCTACCTCATCACCCAGCCCTGACACTGCCTGGCATTAAGCTACTGAAGCAGCCAGAAAACTGATGTGCTTAGAGAAGGAAGGCTGCTGGTGACAGTCCAGCTTTTTGTAGGAATGGTCACGTCGTTACCAGCAGAGCAGGTAACCACCCCCTGACCAGAGTGTGGGCATGAGGCCTAAGGCCACCCCAGGACACACGGTCACCCTTGGCTGCCAAGCTGCTATTCATCCCCCTGGAGACCTCGCAGCCATCAGTGCACTGGTTTGCAGATTTGGCACTTGGACACAGAAAACTTTCACACCTTTCAGCCAGCAGCTTGCTGCAAAAGGGAAGTGACCTTCTCCTTTAGATAAAAAACTGTTTCGTTTTCACACAGTGTCTCTGGGCAGCAAATTACCATCTTACCTAATTGCACAGTCCCTGTTTCACTAATGATCTGAGGAGCAGGTGGAGAAGCTTGGCAGAGGTTACCCCCAAGAGCCACAACCGAGCCAGAAGTAGGACTTGTTCCCACTGCAGCACTCCAGCCACTCAGCCACACTGTCTCCCAGCTTTTGACTTTATCCCAACTGTGTTCAACTTTATTCAAGCAGAAGAGATTAGAACTTTTCCTCTAGTCACTGTGGACACAGGAGGCCATGGCATGGAAGTGTGATGCTAGCACATCTGGCCTTGCTTGTAGCTACACCTCTGCATGTACCAGCAGTGCAAACATCCTTTCACCTAGGGAAAACCAGACAGGGAAGTAGATCTGGATTCAAACTGGACTTCTACTGTTTCAACCAAGTTTCAAACAGATCCAGTTCATTACACAGACCCCTAATGCTCGTGCCTAAATCAGTAAGGAGGCAATAAAGTCCAGGATTGAGCAGCTAAAATGGCTGGTCTACTTCCAGCAGCAGTCAAACTACAGCCTCAACACACCGCTGGCCATAGACCTGCTAGAGTCACCTGCTGCACTGAGTCCAAGTCACAACAAGACACTGTGGAAAGCCCCAAAGCCCCTAGAGCAGCATTTTGGACACAGAGCACCTGGCTGGGGCAGTACATCTTCAAAATGTGAAAAAAAAAAAGTCAAGCTGGTTTTAGATGAGCTGGAAAAGAAGTTCTGTACCATACCTGGGTGGTATGTGCAAACTCCTGGAGCTGCTTCTTGACCTCCACCCAGCTCTCTTCATCCAGCTTCCTAGGACAGAAAAGGAGATTTTAATCTTGCACAGCCACTCAAAGCAACCTCATCTGCACGTCACGCCGCTCTGCACGGGGGCCGGACACACTCTTGTCCACCAGACCATAAAGCTCAGAGCTCAGAGCCTTTTCTATCCTGATGCCCCAAACTTCTTCAGGGCACGCAGTGTTGTCCCTATGCCCAGAAATGAGAGCCATAGCCCTTCTGCCAACCTGGAATTCCCACTGTGATGGCTGGATTTATTCCAAGTTCACATCAACATTCATACATCAGAGCGGACTCCATGCAGAAAGTGTCATTAACCTGACACTGCAGGACTGAACTTTATGGAAACAGAGAACAGAGTATGATCAATGCCAAGCACTGGCATTTTTTTTTTCTGTTTCTCAGCACAAACCCGCTCATTCTGAGTGCAGAGTGTGATAGGTGAGCTGTCTGTGCAGTCCAACCGTGGGAAAGTTCTTCCTATTCTGTCCTAGTTTGAATAAGCAAAATACAGGTCACATCTGATGTTCAGGGAATTTTGATTGTATGAACTGAGGAATGCATTGTGTTCAAACCCCAGCTTACAGACTGGAGAACAGCTTTGCTGGGACTGCGAGAGTTCCCTCTGGTGGCTGCAATCACCCAAGCCAAGTACCCGGAAAATCATGGCTGGAACTTAATGGAAACTGAGGTTAAAAATTACAATAAACAATAAAAAGCACACATCTGATAAAAAAGAGAAACACAGCAGGCATTGCAGGTGAAGTACTGTGTTAATACCAGCCTTCATCTCTGTAGTTAAAGCAACAAAGTAACAGCAAGGGTAAAAAAACATCAGGATACAGAAAACAAATGTGTGTAGAGTCTCCTGACGGCTATAAAACCATAACAAGATACAACACTAAAATCCATGTTCTGATACTTCTCTGCCTTGCTCCTGTAGTGGGTCTATCAAAATTAATGCATCTGCTCAAAGACTGCAATTATTGTTTAACATGGAAATGTGGCAGGGGCTGGTTAGAGCTCAAGCTTTTCTCTGAGATACTCCAGAGCCCAGTGGCTCAGGCACTTAACTCCTCAGAGTTGGAATCCAGTTACCAAAATATCTCAGGTTGTTTTGCTAGGTTATGACATTTTAAATGGCAGAAAGATCTCAGCTCAGATTTCTCTGATACTTTGTTCTCTCTCTCCACAACTGTGGTGGGTAAAGTTTCGACAGAATAATGGAGGAGGCAGAAGGGACTACTCAAAATTAGCAAATAAATGGCATGTCAGGAAATCAAGGAGGTATCAGTACAGAGTCATGTAAGCGTTAGAGCCCCAGCTTCTGTATTGGGAGGGAGGAAAAACAAGACCTTCCCAACTCAGTGTTGTTTCACTTGCCTTTCTCAGGTCGTGATCCACCAAAGCACTCAGGCATATGCTTAGTTTCAGCTTCTAAGGGGATCAGTAGGACTAAAAACATGATTAAATCAAACATGTGCCTAAGAGCTTTCTTGGATCAAGGCCCAAATGACCAACTCATTTCACCAGGAAATGCAGTATTGAGGTGACAGCTGGCTTTTCTTCTCCGATGAGTTCATATCAGCTCTCCTTCGCCCTAGTTGCCCTAGTTATTACCTTTTCCAAGTAATGTAGAAGACTTCTCAATCCATAGAGCAAGAAACATTCAGAATTACAAATATGCCAAGAAACAGGAAGGACTTACTGCTCTGGGGACAGCCCAAGGCCAGAGGTTTCTCTCAGTCTTTTCTGAAGGTAAAGGGAAAACATTATTTCCTATAAGCATCAAAACAGTGCAATCTTGCTATAGTTCCTGTCATTTTGAAGAGAGCAATACAAAATAACTTAGCACTCCTATAGTCACTGGTTTCCTGACAAGGAAGTGATCTGCAGGACAAGTTTAAGGTTTATTGTCTCTCACCTTGTTTGTTTTTAAATAAATGTATCTTGTGCAAATCAAAAAACCACATCTCTCTCTGGGCAGAATCAGTGGAAGATCATGGATGTGACTGACACATTTCTGAGTGTGGTCTCCCCACCAATTATTGATGCCTGCCAAGCCAAAAGCCTTCCAGAAGCCTTGCCCTATCCTCCTGGTCTTTAATATCTGTGTTTACTGGTTTGGCAGCTCTCCCTTAACATCTGCTACTCCTCAACCCTCCCAGAGCTCAGGGATGCCACGGGCCTGCCCAGCTTCCTGGATCTAACTTTAACTCACCCCTGTGTGGCAGAGGTGCAGCACTGATAGCAATTTAGCCCTTCCAAGACTTAGAAAGTGAGAACTACCCACGTGTGCCACAGGGACTCAGCAAACACTTAGGAACGAGTAAGAAAGAGGGGAGATCAGACTGAATCCATCTGCTTGGGAGATGTTCCCCCACCACCACTGCAGTTTCATTGCCACTGTAAAGCCAGCAGACCAGCCACTACCTTCTCTTGCAATTCATGCAATTGCACCTCCAGTTTCGCTTTATCTTCCCGCAGCCGGTTTAACTCTTGGGTTGTGTTTGTCAGCAGCTCCGGATCAGTGATGGAAAAGTGGAATTCAGCAGGGCCAGAGTCCATATCACTGCTGCCCAGGGCCTGGATCTGCTCCCGCTGCATCCTGTAACACGCCAAAGGGGTTAGTCTCCAGTAGCTTTGTCTAAATAACAGCATCAAGAGCTGCTGCTGCAGCAGTTACCATTCACTTCGCATTTCCTGGCTTCTGGCCAGGAAGAGCCAGCAAAGGATAAGCGGGAGAGCCCAGTAGCATGCACAACATTCCTGGGAATATTCCTGAGGGAAGTTTGTCCTAGAGATACTTGTGGCTTTTATGCCACAAGCATTGCTGCTGATTCCCACAGCACAAGCTGATGAGAGAACTGTGGAGCAGGGCTGAGAAGGGTTGTGAGATAGGAGTTACCTGGGATATTGCTGCCATTTGTATACCATCCAGCATGGAAACACTCTCTCCCCATAAATTTTACGAGGCAGAAACGTGCACAGAGCACACAAATGCACAGCAGACACATCGCCTTCCCAGCTTTTCAAGAGTATAGACTTCCAATCCGCTGCTCCACCTGGAAGTTGGCTGCCTGCCTCCCTCTCAGCACTGAGATTGGGCGCAAGTGCTGCAGAGCTCTTCCTGATGGTCCTTAGCAATAGCTGGAGAGAAAGAGGGAGCCTGGGCCCTGGCTCAGCTCTACCTGTAAGCAATCAGCAGGTTTTCATGCTTCTTGACCAAGTTTCTCATCCGTTTCTTGTAGCCACGTGCTGCTCCAGCTAGCTGCTCTTCCCGAGACTTGTATGAAGCCTTGATATCCTTCAGCATGCTGTCCACGAAGCGTTTCATGTGAGCATGGTTAGCTCGGCCTTTGCTAGGCTCCTTCAGGTTGCTGCATTTGCTGTCCATGTACTCCTTTAAATATAAACAGAAGGAAATGGAGATGACCAAGTTATTTCCTAAGACATTAACCCATTTCCCACAGGGAAGGTCCAGGAATACTTGTGATAACAGCACTTAGAATAGGGTATATCTTTAATTTTCTAAGTGCAAGAAAGACTAATTAACTTCCATCATGCCCCTTCAAGGCAGAAAAGGCAGTTATGCTACATCAGTGACTAGTCTAGGGAA